AGACTCGAGGCTCGTGGCGCGCATCGAGTGAGCACTAGAAACAAATGGGGAGGGAGGATGACTCACGTTCATAACTCGCCGAGTTAACTGCCACCTTTCGAAGTCCTATCGCGATTGAATCAAAATTGCTGGTACGGTTTTAATGCAGCCAAAGTAGGAACATATAATTGATACCTCGGTACATGAATCGGTTAAACCGGTTGACGAAACGCAATGCCTTACTACGAAACTTACTGCCTTTAATAGGGCTCTGGAGACACTAATACTGTCGAAGCTTTCATCGATATTAACATGTAACCGCCATGTCAGTCATTGACATTCAGAGCGCTGTAGTCATTGTACGACTGACGATATACAATTTAAAAAATTATTATAATTATTATAATAAATTTTAAGTAATTTGGAGATCATCAAAGAATGTATCTAAATATTACTTTTGTTATAAAAAAATGTTTATTTATTTATTTGTAAATAAATAGCAGTTGAGGTATTGAGGGCAAGGACTGTTAGAGGTTATAAAATTATGGTAGCAATTTTCAAGGTTATGAAAGGACACGTTGTTAAGGGTAGAAGAGAGTTTACTTTGGTTAAAGTTTTCGAATTGAAGAGCAAAATGTAAAAGGAAGGAGAATGAAGGCAGGAGAAGATATGAAGGGCAGAAAGTATTAAACTATGAGAGTGTATATTTTATGTAAGACAAAAATGTAAAACAATTCCACTTCTAAATCAATAGACTAAAATAAAGACATTGTACCAAGAAAATTGTACTAAATCGTTTACAAGTTGAACAAACTTTCAAGTCGATGTTAACGAAAGCATTGACGTTGAGCTGCTTGAGCTCCAGAAATGCAGAGAAGTATTGTCAATGCCAAAATAAAGATGTATCAACTACGGAGGGGAGTCATAGGTCACTAGACAAAATGTGCTCTTTGCAAAGAGAACGCAACATCCAAAAAATAATGGCCTGCCTAACCTCTTTCTATGAAGATGCTAAGATAAAAGCCCTCTTGGAGGAAGGCATAATAGAGAATAAGCCATGGAGATACTATCACGGTCAAGAATTAGAAAAAGAATACGACCCCGTTGGAAAGAAGAAAATGCTATACAAGAAGTTAAGTAAAATCAGCCCAAAAAGGAATACTACGAAGACGTTGGCCCTCAGAAGCTCAATAACAAAATGTTATACCAAATTTCTTCTGTTTTAACATAGAATCACCTCTTACCCAATTGTACCAATTGCCAAATTTAAGTTACCAATTACCCTACGATTTTCGACCTACCCTGTAGATAAAACGAATCTTATTGACTAATAAAGCACTTAATGGCTAATAAAGCAATTAACTAAAGAGAAAGGGAAGGCAAAAAACAGGCATGGCGCTTGGCGTGGTAACAGGGATCCTGCGTCTCCGTGTCACGTTTCACAGGAAGCATTGCATGGTTTTTTTGTTCTCCTGCTAAACGCAGTATTGATTAGGCGATATGCCTATTTTTCCCATCGATCACATTTTCGCGAGACCCATTCGTCGTTCGGTTCGGTTATCGATGAAACGCGTTAGTTAATCTCGAAATCAATGTTATCCACGCTCGAGCCAGTGAACCGAGGAATTGGATTAGCAAAGTACACATTCGCGTTAACCCGCAGGGAGTAAAATTGATTTCCTACCTCACGGTTGTACATACATACTATAGTATAGTATTAATAGTGCTCGTGAAGCCAAATACTTCGTTAACGTTCGGAGAAGATGCGTGGAGGCACCCGGACGATAACGAAATTCAACGTCTCTCCATGGAAGGTTTGTCATTTCTTTGGATGAGATTCGCTGTTTGCACGAACGACTCGGCGCAACGTTCACGCGGAAAACTTGTATTATGGCAAATACGTATGTATGTACGTACGACGATTCTTGAGTCCGGCAACAAGTTCGTCGGTGCGACGATAGGCGACGATACGAGCAGCAGATCTCGTATGCGAGGCAAACTTTATCGCGAAACTTTTGCAACGTGACGTGCATCATTATCCGAGCGTGCGTTCCTACGACGAGCTCCGCTCCGACGGAAACTCTATTAATCTTAGTATATCGGAATAAGTTTGATTCCTAGGTCGTTTCTTAATTCCCTCGATCTTCGATGCTCGAACGCTGCCAATCCATATTTCCACAATGATTCATCTTTTTAAATTACGTTTTTTATCTTAATAATGGCTACCCAGGACTCCTCTAATGATCCCAACAAGGGAATGAATATAGAATATCATTGATTTTGATGATGGTTTTAATTATGATCCTCAAGTTGTCTGAAAAAGTCATATTTGACAATGATTCATCTTTTCAAATTACCTTCCTTATCTTAATAATGGCTACCCAGGACTTCTCTAATGATCCCAACAAGGGATTGTACAGAATATCATTGATTTTGATGATGGTTTTAATTATGATCCTCAGGTTTTCTGAGAAAGTCACGTTTGACTCATAAATTTGATCTTATAAAGCGAATTTCGACACGCTCTTGCAGATTTACTGAGTAATCAGGTTATACAGGCTATATTTTTCAAATATTTTCTGCCTCAAAGGTCACAGGGCGAGTACATGATTTGCTCATAGCTACGGGCTTGCGTATCGATCGACGATGCAAGTCGAATTGCCTGATTCAGGCGCAAGAACGCTTGTCACTCTTGATTTTCGTTTTATTCTAGGTCGTAGAGTCGATCCTCAAACATTGCCAGTAGGTTTGCATCCTGTATATTATTTATAATAATAATAATAATAATTAATTAAAGTTCATTTGTTGCAAATCTTAGTTAAAGTCGTTTAAAAATACACATTTCGTCATTTGTCTTCGTATATTCCTCAAAGATCTCGAGAAACGCTAGTTTTGAGGAGTGTATTGGATTATGGGGATGAATAAAAGTAAAAGTTTTATATTTTGAATAATATTTTATTTTTAACTTGGCTTGGAAGGACGTCTATGCTCGCCAGCTAACGCACTCGAAGTGAGACCAACAGACAAGGGTCTACCTCCCCTTAAAACTGTTTCGGGCCTTATCTCAGAAAGCAGACCCTTTCTGAGAATAGTATTGTATATGACCAAGACATTTAGAATTGCCTTGTGAAAGACATTCGACAGAGTACTAAGAGAGACTACATCTTCTTATAAATATCGATTCATTTTTGTTATTTAAGTTGTGTAAATAATTCAACAGAGTGTTTCTAACCCTTTGCCACAGTTGTCGATGAAGAGTTAAGTGTGAAATATTTTTGACAGGACTACGTCTCTGCGTTTAAAAAAAAACGGTGATCGACGATATGTTCTGCAAATTTCTGTACTTTTGTCTGTCTATGACAACGTCGCTGTGCGACGTTTCATAAGAGGGAAATTCGCAAGCAGCCAGTACCTGCATACCGCATACGCAAGAAAGTGGCGCAACTCTATTATACGCTATCAGAGTGGATTATTGTACACGTGGGTGGAGAACCGCTGCCAGATGAAGACGTACAGGCTGGTAACCGTATAATCACGATCCTAAGAGCACGGAACACGTAAGTTCGTACCCTCTTTCTTTGCCGGTGTGTGACCGTGTGAAACCGTGTATCCCGCGGTTTGCACTTGCCATGTAAATCCGACTGGTATCTTTCCGCCGATCTAGCCTTAGCCTCTTTGAATTACCCGGTTCTGTCTATATTCACGGAGTGTCCACGAGAATTGAAAACACTGTAGAATAATAAAAATTACGGAGATGACCCAACGAAGTCGTCAGGATGAGTGGACAGCCGGGCAATTAACGCCCGAATCGACGTTCCATGGATTGTTCCTATAAAAAATTAGATTCCGTTCGGATTCGTTGGTCGGAAATTTATACGACAGCTCGACGAAACGTTCTACAGATCCGTAAACGGTGCTAATCGAGCATGGCCGACGGGCAGCTTAAGCGATTGACAGCTATCAATTATAATTGACGCATCCCCTAAAAGCGGTAATAAATTACGACCCGCCGCCCATCTGCCGCGTCAAAACTGTCGGGCAAACTTAATTAATTGCCCGGTAACCTAGAGAGAGAGAGAGAGAGAGAGAGAGAGAGAGAGAGAAAAAATACAGAAACGTAAGATAGGAGGATGTGCCTGGAAGTTTTTCACCCGATGAAAAAGCGAGATACGAGTAAGAAAGCAACGTTTGCTCTGGCCGTCGCGGAAAAACCGTTGGGGACGAGTGAAACCCGTGAAAAGAGGTTGGCTGGTCGAGCAACCGTTTCTTCCCTGCGACGACGATATTTCATAATTATCAACGTCCAGTTTTCTACTTCCTCTTATTATTTTCCGTGTAATTATCGCAGCAGCCACGACGCTGGTGGCCCGAGAGTCCAGATAAGTTAACGTTCTCGTTAACGTGGACGGTTTTTTCTGGAAAAATTGATACGCGGAAAAATCGATGTGAGACGCGCAGGCCATCGCTGACCGCGTTGTAAGCGATGTCCTCATTGGTCGAAATTAACACTAGAAAGACTGACTGCTTTTGGGCAATATAGGTATAACAGATATATATATACTGGAAATGGAGGAGGGGGGAGGTAACTACAATTATTAATAAACGCATTTATATGTTGTACAAAAAGTCACAAAATTCTAAGAAATTGTATCATTACATAATAATTGTTTTTCTAATTGAAATTAAAAAGCAGTCAAAATGACTTCCTTGGGCAATCTAGTGTTAAATCGGTTACAATATGTCGTTAAACTCCTTCAACTACTGCAACGCAACCGTTCGATTTATCCGAACTCCGGCAGCGATAAAAACCGTGAACGTGCGGCACCGATTACGTGATCCTACCGGCGCGAGCTCGAGGACACGGCCAGCGAGGGATTAGTCGTGAAGTGGTTCTTCAACACGAACCAAGTGGCCTACCAATAGATATACGCGTTAGGGACCCTTTGCCCGGAGAAACTCCGATGAAGTACGTCGACCCGAAGTACAAAGCCAGCGACGATCCGTACACCGAGTACCGAGCCATGAAATTGAATAAGCCCGGTATCGATCTGACCGGCGAATACACGCGCGTCATATCCACTTTCGCGGACGAGCAGTCAGCTTCCACGCTCGTCTCCAGTGGGTATATACATACATGTATATGGTGGCTGTTTCTCTTTAGATGCGCTCTACGATTTTTTACGCCAATCGTATCCTTCGTCTATCTTCTGATGCCAAAGGTACCCAGTAGCCAATATACTTGTGCATCTTACGTAACGTGTGACGAGCTCGTTCAATGTTCCAGGAGTCATTGCGTTTGTAGTTTCACAGACGTCCAATGAGCAACGTTATAGATGGAAAGGTTTATTGGATTATTTAATAATATAAATAGCAAAAACGAATCTCAGGTGGTGGAAGACTCCATCTATACAAGATTGTGGTTTTAGCATGAGGCTATTGAGCTAATCAGTTTTGTGTGGCTCCACCCTTAGAAGACTGTGGTTTTAACATGAAGCTGAGCTAATCAGTTGTGTGTGAGTGTTCATTGCTAAACAACTTATTGGCTGAGTCAGGGAAAGGCATTGTGCAGGGTCAGGGTGAGTTTTCTTTAATAGGGCTCCACCTTTAGCATATTGTGGTTTTAACATGAGGCTATTGAGCTAATCAATTGTGTGTGAGTGTTCATTGCTAAACAACTTATTGGCTGGGTCAGGGCAAGGCATTGTGTAGGGTCAGAGTGGGTTTTCTTTAATATGGCGCCGAAAACTTTCTTAAGGACTGTAGATTATGCTTCACTTGCTATCCTTTCTACGAATGTCCTTCTAAGCTATTAACTCTTTCGCTACGGGCGGATTTTCCGCCATGGTACTTCCGCTGAACGCAGCGTCGCGACATCACTGCACGCCACTGTAGATAGTAGGTTTTTATTAGTCAAAAATTTCATATACAGCCATGTTACAATTGCACGCCACTATAGTGGCCCGTAGTATCTCAGTGACATCTCATGGAAGGCTACTATAGTGGCTCGTAGTAGCGAAAGGGTTAAGAATAAAAGAAATATAAATTGAGTTTCATTTATTAACCCAGATCCAGTGATGGGTTCTCGACTCATGTCATCAGTTTTCTATTTAGTTTGTAGTAAACCTGTAGATTACGTCTGGCTACGTCATTAACGTCGATAACTGGTTGAGAACTTGACCTGACAAGTGGCATTTGGAATTATTAAATAATTATTATGCTGTCATAGCATCTAAGGGGAACCATCGACGTTTAATGTTAGGTTAGGTTAGGTTGGGGGCCAACGACCGTCTAAACCAGGCATGTCAAACACGCGGCCCGCCAAGATTGATAACCAATACGTTCATTTAACTTTTGACAACGCTGGATCTATGCTTGCTACCACATATTTGGGCGGACAACTATTTGACATTTAAAAAAAATAATAAAACTGCGGAAAGATCAAGATTAACAGGCAAGCATATTGACCAATCACTGAGTTCCATTCCGATGGGATTGTGGTTCTAACTTCAAAATGGTAAAAGGTCATAGATAATAATGGCCAGTATATAAAATTAATTTTGAATCCAGGCCTAGAGGACCCAACGATCTTATTAGCCAACCGGAATAAAATGAATTTTTGACCGTTGTTCGAGGTGACCTGCGAGCTTTCTTAGCCGGCGACAGTGCCGGGAAGGCACTATAATTTGAACTTTTCCGTCACGGTGACACGTGCGCAATTTATTTTCCTGCAGCCACGAGCACTCGTTCTCGAAAAATAAAACTTGTCGAGCGTTACAATGAAACGGGACGCGACGGGTAGCACCGCGACGCGACGGTTGCAAGTAAAGGCGGGGGGGTGGAGGAACGGGGGGTGGGGGCCGAGAAACGTGCAGTATTTTCGCGATAATGCAATTTCGTCCTCCCAACGGGCCAGCACGCGATGTATCCATTACTATTAACTTTTTATTCCCATCGCGGTACGTGCGACCGCCGCGAAACATCCACTTTCCTAGCTCGTATACAGAATCGCGTCTCCGATTCGAGACGCCTGTCAATTTCTCGTTACTAGGCCTAAGCGAATTAACTAGTAATCGCTCTAGATGGCGGTGCCGGCAATTTTTCACGTTAACGCGGCGTGCATCGTGCTCATTTTTCTCGGCACCGATATCGGCCGGGATGGCAGCGCACGTAATCAAGGGGGCCGAGAAACGTGCAGTATTTTCGCGATAATGCAATTTCGTCCTCCCAACGGGCCAGCACGCGATGTATCCATTACTATTAACTTTTTATTCCCATCGCGGTACGTGCGACCGCCGCGAAACATCCACTTTCCTAGCTCGTATACAGAATCGCGTCTCCGATTCGAGACGCCTGTCAATTTCTCGTTACTAGGCCTAAGCGAATTAACTAGTAATCGCTCTAGATGGCGGTGCCGGCAATTTTTCACGTTAACGCGGCGTGCATCGTGCTCATTTTTCTCGGCACCGATATCGGCCGGGATGGCAGCGCACGTAATCACAATACAAGCGTATCGGCTGTATAAAATATTTAAAATAAAATTTACCGTTGCATCGGAAAGCGTACGCTCTCCTCCGTTGTTCGAGCACGGTCGATTTGAATTTCCGTGACGAACGAAATTCCTTGAAACAATGCGGGCCGTAAATTAGGATTGACTGTAAATACGGGTGATGCGGAAAAAGGAACAGATGCCAGCGGACGATTCGATTTTCAGCTAATGGAACGTACGTCCTGATCTTATAAACGGGCCTGGACATTTTATACGATGGAAAACTGTTGAGAATGTACGGTAGTTTTTTTATTTATTCAGCTTATCGTGTTGGAAAAAATATTTTCTCCCTCAAGGTCATTTTTGGGGTCGTCAAGGTCATCAGTGTTTCTTGGTACATTTTTTTATTATTGCATCGTTGTTGGATGAACCAATTTGTCTCTGGTGATTCAGTTTTCAGCAAAAAAAAATCTTAAATCTACCTAAAAACACACTCCTATCCTATTTTGACTATTAGACCCCCACTTCTCATATAGACTAGATATAAGGACTCCAAGGTCACCTAAGGACAAAAACTGACTTCCCTAGGATGTACCTATATACGTGCAGAGTTACACTGTTCAATAGAATTCTATATTTATTTTTTCTTGCTACTGCCATTATGGAACAGAGGGAGTCTAAATGATAAAGAAAGATGGCTGAAGAGTTGCGACTGCTACTCTCGATATAGTGATTTTCCCAACGTTTAGATGTTGCAAAGTAATAGGCGGGACAGACTAGGGCGTGCGTCTGCGAAATAACGTTAACATGCTAATCCGTTGTTCCGTTTTGCGCGACGTATCTCGTCGTGATAATTTTCCAACCGTCGCTTCAATCGCAGAAGCGTTCCGGAGAGGTAAACAGCGGAGCCCGGTCGTTACGCTGCTCGACGATGGACTGTACGATATCTTATCACGAACCGCCTTACCGGACGAAGATTCGCCGGAGGCAGCGAATGTCAAATGTCTCCTCGGAATTGAGAACGGCGAACTACATTTACCACGAAAATGCTGGATCCAGGATGGTGTAAACGTTCCTTAATGTATTACGCCGTTTCCGCGTCGGTGCACGTGAAACGTGCTTATAATGGCGCCGAATGACAATAAAATCGTCTTCCAAGTCATTCTCCATTCCTCTGCGTTATGTATAATCCAAATCCTGGACATATGGCGTAAAAGGAACGTCTCGTTTACCTAGAGTATGTAACATAACATCATTTAATCGAAGCTTTTTATATCCATCGTTGGTAAATTGTAGGTTAGAAGTACTATTTTCGAATCATGAGTGATTCGATCACCATCGTTCCCAATTACAGTGATTTTTCCATTGAGTTCTACAAAAGAACTGGTGTGTGGCTCTCAGAGGATGGAAGGTAGAAGAGTAACACTCAAACTCGAAGAAGTCAGGCCCTCTAGTGGAATCCCTGTCCTCCATTTTATACTCACTGTCTCTACTTCTGTTATCTTGTAGTACAGTTAGTTATGTTAACACTAGATTGCCCAAGGAAGTCATTTTGACTGCTTTTGGGCAAATGTACAAATAATAATGCATTAATTATTTTTTTTCCAATACTAAGTTTCAGTCTTTCTAGTGTTAAAGTTAACTAGTTCTGACACTAGTCGTCTTCATTGTTTCTGGTTTGCTATTTCAGCAAATCTATAAAAAAGCTTAATCTATAAAAAAATGACCTTTGGACTTATAGTAGTGTGAAGGACTATTGAATATGACGATTCTTCAGTTGCATCTGGGTAACCTGAGCCTCCGATCTTATCAATTAGGTATTACATATACATAAGCAATCTGAGTTCCTGCCTGTTTGGAAAATCTGGCACATAACCTCAACGATAAGTCCCATTGGGCCTAAGGAGATACTAAATAAACATAAAACACCTAATAAAGACAGTCTTCAGTGCGAGAATAATCATTACTCTGCCTCTAATACGTATTCAGTCATAGAAAGAGAATTGAAAGATGACAAGTCCAGCCTAAACGAAGATTAGGTTAAAGATTCACGAGGCCTGAGACTAAAATGAACATGAGGCCCACTTAATGTCAGCAAAAAATGGTAATTTCGTGAATATATATAAAAATTATCTTCTTATTCGAGTTCGCCCATCTTTGGATGTTGCCCTAAGGCTGAAGCCCTTCGTTTAATCTGCCCCTGAACGTAACATAAAAAGCTCTCGATATAATTAGGGATGAGATAGCTTGAGTTCATGAAAACCATTTGAATATTCAATATGATACCGCGTTTTAAACGGTAGATCGTGTACAGGTTGATTAACCATAAGGAGGCTAGTAGGGTATGACATAAGCAGTGGGCGACGCTGCCCGAAATCATCTCGATCAAGCGCGCAGCGTTCCAGCTTATTATACGCGTTCTCCCTCCCATTATCCGAGGGTACCGTCTGATCCCGGGAAGATGACATTCCACCCGGAACCAGACTCTAGCGCAGAGTTCAAAGGGCGAAGTCCTAAGAGGATAGCCGACGCCAAAGGGTCAAGGAGCAGAGAGCCGGTTGATAGGCGGTCGTGGCGCGCGTGCATTCGCTCGCAGACGGGCCGGGGTATTTTGCGGTGTAAACCCGTCGGCGCCACCCACCCCCGAACCCCCAAGCCCCGTTCCTTCCCGACCCCTTTCCGTTCGCCTTGTTATCGTCTCGGGCCAAAAACCCAAGAAGGATTTTCGGCTCGTCGTTCTCCGGTTGCGACTTGCGGCTGCGGCT